GAATATGCACCAAGAAGGGACTTTCCAGGTTGGTTTATACCAGTGGTTCTCAATCTTCCTAATGCTGCAACCATTACAGTTCCTCATGCTGTGGTGACCCCCAACCACAAAATTATTTTTATTGCTTCCTTATAACTGTAATTTTGCTATTGCTATAAATTGTAATGTGAATATCTGATATGCATGATATCTGATATGTGATCCCCATGAAAGGGTCATTTGACACCCCCCCCAAAGGGGTTGTGAGCCACAGGTTGAGAACCACCAGTTTATATGACATGGGTCTCATCTGTTAGCTTCTCCATGAACTGAGCGCCTCAGCAATCCTAACCTGGTACCAAAGGTTTAGAGGATTCCTGAATTGCTGTTGGCCTTTGGTCTGTGTTGGAAGCCTGAAGAAGCTGGTTCTAAGATTAGCAAAGGAACAGAGAAGCAAGCAACATGATGAATAAATTTACCAGCAAAGGTGAAGACAAGCAGGCAAAAGCCCTTTATCCAAACGTCTCCCTTTTTGCTGGGCTGCCGCTAGAAAATGCTGCCTACATTTGGAGGGGGTCTTCTCAGTTTAAATAATCTGCACCCTCCAGGTGTGTTCTGTGACTGCCTTTTACTTGATTCCAGAGCCAGTCAAGTTGACAACCAGTACTAAGCCTCTTAGGGTGCAGCCGTGTCCGGTTCGAATTCATTCATCCTCTGAAAACTTCATGCAACTGTTAGGCCATGTTGGGCCTTGGTAACAGCCACTCAGCAAAGGGCCTCTGGGTTCCTGCTCTCTGTCAGGCCCTTCGTCCTGGACAAGAGAATGTTCAGGAGAACAGTCTAAAATTGATAGAATCTGCATAGCATTCCAACCATGAAATTAGCCAGCAGAGAGAGCCGGCTTTACCCATCACTACCTGCTCCCTGTCAGGGCAAGTTCCAGAATGAAGGCCTCCTTACAAGGAACAGAAGGTAGCCACTGGGAATGTCCTCTTGAAACACACGTATTTATTGTTGATTATGTGTGTCGATCCAGAGAAACATGTGAAGTGTATCTTCTAGACATGTTTTGTGCACGGTGAGATTACTAAAAATGGACTCAGAGAATTTTTTTAAATCACACAGTACAATTGCTATTAATGCTAGCCTGTTCCTACCTCTGTGCACGTGTACAAAAAACTTTGTGAACTTACTCCCATCTAGCTGAAATTCCAAATCCTTTGGTCAATATCTCTCTAACAACCTCACCCTGCTCTACTTTCCTCTGAAAACTACTTCAGGTGTTTTAGGAAAATTTGAAACAAATTTCATGTCCCAGAAAGCCCATTATCATGTATCAAGAAGGGATAAACTAATTAGACATATAAACAAAAATAGTTGAAGTTTTAGTGAGATTTCCATGACTGTGACTATATACTTAAGATAATCAACAAAAAAGGAGAAAATGTTTATTTTCGCAGGTTGACCTGTTGCTTTGGGTTCATTGTGCCACAGTATATCATGGAAGAAGTAGGTTTATTCACCTTTTTCTGGCAGTAAGGAATCATAAAGGAAGAAGAGGTGTGTCCTAATATGTCTGTGAAAAGCATGATCCCATTACCTGACTTCTTCCCACTAGTCCTCAATTTCTCTCATCTTCCCATTATTTTCCATTCATACCATAAAACTCATCCTTTAACACATGCCTTTGGGGGACACTGTAGCCCACAGCAGGCATGTAATCATAACCCAAATAACACTGTCCTTTATTTCTGTACTTAAATTAAAGGGCAAAGGCAAAACTCCAAGGGTGCAACCCATTTCATCCAGTATCACCAGAGTCTATTCTTTATTTTACTTCTATAAATCTGCCTTACAGGCATCCCTATGATCCCTTCCTCTCCAAACCATATTGCTTGAAACCAGAAACCTTCTACCAGGACCTCTTCTTGTCACCTGATTGGGTGTTCTGGGTGGCAGAAGATGAATTTGTTTATGTCAATGTCTACAGCCCCTGTCAGATCAGCAAAGGCAGGAGAAGAGGCATAGAAGACTGTAGTCTAAGCTTGATGTCGAGTTCTTTATTTTTTTCTACATTTCTTTATATTATCCAGGTGTGTCCATTCACACCTTTCATTCCAGTACTTAGGAAGCTGAGGCAGTAGTGTCGTCATGAGTTTGAGGGCCATCTTGGGCTACATAGTTCTAGACCAGCCAGCACTACAAAGTGAGATGTGGGCAGACAGGCTTAATAAGAACGGTTTAAAGAAATTTTCTCTCATGCTACAGGCTTTCCCTCCATCATTGGATTAGAGTTTATCAGCTTGTGGGTCTGTCCTAGTTTGGTTTCTGTGGCTGTGATGAACACCATTACCCAAAGCATCTTGAGAGAAGAAAGGGTTCATTTCATCTCACAACACCCTCCATCACTGAAAGAAGTCAAGGCAGAAACCTTGGAGGCAGGAGATAATGCCGAGGCCATGGAGGAATGCTGCTTACTAGCCTCTTTCTTGTGGCTTACTCAGCCTTCTTATACAACCCAGGAGCATCTGCCCAGGGTGGAACCACCTACAGTGGGCTGGATCCCGACATCCTGAATAAGAAAATGCCTACACACTTTTCCTAAGGGCCAATCTGAGAGATACATTTTTTCAATTGAGAGTTCCTCTTCCAAGATGCCCCAAGTTTGTATCAAATTAGCAACAACAGACTATAACAGGGTCCCAGCTGATGTTTCAGTCATTCGGCTTCTGACAAATTCTGGCAAGGAACTGTTCATCTCAGTGGTAGATTGTAAACACACTTCCCTTTAGAAGCATCCCCTTTTATCTGATCAACATTAAGGGTTCCATGGTTAGGGCATCAGCAAAAACATATCTTCAGAAATATGTTCTACAAGATGTTATTTCTGAAACACCACGGGAAGGGAGATTCTTGGCACAATATATAAGATATGAAGTGCTCCCTCTTCAGAGGCCCATAGGACATTAAAAGCCTTCCAGGAAAAACTTGGAAGGTTTCATATGGGGGCCCTTATCTATCAGGATTATTCTCTTTGGATATACATCTCATATTAAGTACAAGTTGCCTTACTTCCCTTGGAAGGGAAGTAAGATGCTCCTGGGTTGTGTAAGTAAGTAGGCTGAGCAAGTCATGAGAAATAGGGTATTAAGCAGCATTCCTCCATGGCCTCTGCATCAGCTCCTGCCTCCAAGGTTTCCGCTTGAGTATCTATCTGCCTTGACTTTCTTCTGTGATGGAGTGTGACCTCAGAGTTGTAAGATGAAATAAGTTGTAAAGCTGAAAAGGGGCAAGATTTAAATGACTCCATATGAGGGCTGAACTGGCCCAGCCTTCCTGTTGAAGCCCAGGTTTCTTGCTTGGAAAATTCTGTTTAGAGCACCCGATACAAAGTTGTATGGCTTAGTTGGTAAACTGAGAATGCCTGGCCATGGCTACCCGTTTCTCTTAAAGAGCCAGTGTGACTCGATTGCCCTTTGAGATCTCGATCTCCCTTTCCTCGGTTTTATTCTGCGTATCTCCTCCCATGTTTCTTCTGCTGTTTCTGGGCAGCTTTCTGCTTTTTCACTCCTGTGTATTGCACAGTGCCTGTCACATACCATAGACAGCATGGCCGAGTTGACATACTGCAGAACCATGCTGTCAGCTCTGAGTCAGAGGTTATTGAGCATTTGAACTTTGGGTGGTACAGGAAAAGTGAATACTCAAATATTGTTTAAGGTAACATTTCTCTGGAGTTTTGTGCATTGTAGTCAACAAATTTAGGGTATAAAAAATTTTAACTTAAATCTCACCTGTTATCTTCATTGATCTTATCCTGAAGTAAATGTTTGCTATGTTTCTCTACAGCCTTCTGTTAATATTCTTAGTGATAATTCTGCTATTAAGGTATACCTCTATCTAGGTATGTGTGTTGGAAAGGAATAGTCAGGGGTTATTATACTCAGATGGTAGGGTGCTTGCCCAGCATTTACAAATTTATGAGTTCAACCCCCAGCAAGGCCAAAATAGAATGATGGCACTTGCTTGTAATCCCAGAGTCTTGGACTAGGAGGCAGGAGGTTTAAAATTTATGGTGAAGCCAGCCTGAATGACAATAATGAAAAGCACTTGGAGAACAACCCAAGCCTAACATCTGGCAGTTCGCAGTACTTTCCACCAGTGTTCACAAGACTTGCTATAAAATATGCTCATCTTCAGAAGCAAATGTGAGAGTTACAGCGATGGGTGTTCTTGAAATGGATACATTTTCACCTTTGTTCTATTTATGATAGCCTAGGTGAGTTAGTTCCATCATAGACAAATTGACCTCTATTATCACCACGAATACCTGGGCTCTCCCCTAGGATTAGAGGCTGTACTAGTTAGAAATGCAATTACAAGCCTTGGCTCAGATCTCTTAAATCACTCTCTAGAACTGAAAATGGTAACTTTAGGGTGGTGTTAGGATTTGAGCCCATAGCCTTGTGTAGGCCAGGCAGGTCCTCCAATACAGAGCTACTTTCTGACATTTTTCTTTTCTGTGTTTAATGACAGGGTCTCTTGTATAGTCTAGACTGGCCTTTGTCATTCATCTTGGGAATCCCATGTGCTGTGATTGCAGCTGTATATAGTGACTGGCTGGCTGGCCCCTTAAAAAAAAAAAAAAGAAAGAAAGAAAAAAAAGTGGTCCCAGAGTGTTGTGGCTACCTGAAGATTAGTTCTGACTTTTTTCCCCCCCAGATCCTTGTTCTATATCCTGAGCTTATAAAACCTAGCCAATCAAGATACATAGTTAGGTATGTACATGTAACCACCTTGAATTGTATTCTGCCAAAACGTTGTTTTGATCAGCTAAGAGAGCTAAAATAAGAGGTCAGCATGTTACTCTTTGCTCAGTGAGGTGAGATGCTCTTCCCTAAGTGAGCAAAGTGATGCTCAGACAGTGATTCTAAATGAAGTCTTTGACTATCTTTCAAATGACTAACTCAGCCTATGCCAGCAATGTAGTTTGTTTTATTGAGACATTTGGCCTGGGCAATTTATCTCCGTTTTCTGAGGGCCGAGTAGGATATGAACAAGACTCCAACGATGATCATGGTTGCAGAAAGTACTACCACCCACAGAGCAGGAGAATCCATGGAGGTGCCTGTGGAGTGGAAAGGTAGGTTAGTGTATGCTGACACAGACAATTCTTGATTTTGACAGAGGTAATCTTCTGAAGGAATGGGGATTTCTTTTGGGGGGAAAACTTACATTGAACAGTATGGAACAGGGCAAAAGAGCAACATTTCAGAAGAGGAGGAAGAGTAGTGTCTTGCTATGTAGCACAGGCTGTCCTTGATCTAGCAATAATTCTCCTGCCTTAGCGTTTCAAGTGCTGAGATTACAAGCATGCAAGACTGTGGCTCGGTAGGAAGTAGCTAGCAATTTGATATCCTTCCACTCACCTGGGTATCTATGAAGCAGGTCTGCAGGGTCCTCGGTGGTTTGGAGAAGAATCAGGGGGCCCTTGCTAGATATGCTGGCAGTTCTGTTCTCAAAATAAAGCTCGGATTTTCTCTTTCCTGGTGGAGAGATGAGAGCTTGTAATATATTAAAAATTTTCCATTGTACATACAAGCCAAGGGTGAAGGTGGTAAGGTACAAAGCCAAGTGCCTTGATGCACATGTCTTCATTCCGTACCTTGTAAAAACCTGCTTGTGTGTTAATACAAACCCAAACAAGTCTAAGATTTTCTATTTAAATCCTACAGTACTGTTATTTCATCAAGATTTGGACATAGATAATCACATTCGATAACCGCCTTTTCCCCAACAACTACTATCATCTCCTAGCAAAGAGAACACCCATGGTAGTGTTCAGTTACTTTTATATTCCCAAGATTATTTGTTCAAACAGGAAGCGAGGACACAGCTGTTGTAATCCTACATATTTCAGTCAAATGAGCTGGAAAAATTCATAATCTATTGTCATTACAAGTGGGAATAATGGGCATAAGCAGAATAGTTTTGTCTTTGTTTCTTACACCATGTCGTCACTGTACTATTAGGAAGTTGATTTCTGTCTTATATAAAACTTGAAGGATTCAAGAATCATGAATCATGGTCCAGAGACCAGTCAAGTGGGAGTGGATCAGGTAGAAGTATCTACATATAAGGAGGTCTGGGTCTGGCCAACTTCAGCTCATACTGTGTATCTATGGTTCTTCCACCTGTGTTCCTTCAGGGCACATTGAATACCTGCCTCCAAGGTAGGTCCAGACATCTGCTTTTGATAACAGACCAAATGTAAAGGGGAAAAGCTGACATGTGGCTGGCTGAAGAACTAAGTCAGGAAAGTGCTCACTGTGCAAGCAAGTAGACCCAAGTCTGACCCCAGAGCACATGGTTTAAAAGTCTGGATCTGATGCTGTATGCTTGTATAAACTCAGCCAGATGTTGGGCCATGGTTGGCTTCTGGCTGAAAAATCAAATTTCATGTAACTTGAATTATGGTTTGTTTTTGAAAATCCGAGATCCTGGCAATGTAGTCAGCCCTGGAAGCTTTACTGATAAGATGAACAGCTTAAGTTTACTGGCCGAGGCTGACATGGCAGGACTTGAGGATTTACATCGGTCTGTGATGTAGACAGCTTCGGTACTCACTTCTGGAAGCAGGGCATATGGCTGTACAGGAAGGTGTCCCAGCAGGCTGGCAGACCAGTGCACTGCAGTGCAGATAGACCTGGAGGTTCACAAGTACATGCCCTGTTGTAAACCTCTTTCATAGCAGACACCTTCCAACCTCATGCCTCATCTCTCCAAGTTGAGAAAGTGTTAAAACCATCTTGATGGGGCTAAGTTAATGTCACAATGGCCCAGAAGAGCCAGAGTCTAAGTGACAGATGCCACTTATGTTCTTGGAGCTTGAAGCTGCCCTCAACACCAGGAGCCAGTGTCAAAGGTCAAAAAGCCAGCTTAGAGAGGTGGCAGAGGGTTAAACAGTCCTGTGCTCTGGGGGGTTTAAAAACTTTTCAAGGGCACAGAAGGAGATGCCATACCTGTCCACCAAAAACCTGCCCCTCCCTTCCAGCATTCGTGAAGCTGAAGGTGGAGATGCTGAAGCGTTGATGATGAGAAGGAAAGGGATCTGGAGCTTTCTGGACAGGGATCCTTTTCGTCTGATAGTTGTCTCCAGCATATGGGCATCTAAGTCAAGACACACAGTTGTTGGGATGGGCTTATTTGGGGGACCCACTCATACAGGTACATGGTGGATCCACTTACCCCTTCACCAGGATTGGCCACTGCAGTTGATGAAAAGGGTTAGGGCTAGGTGTGGCCCAACATTGATCTAGCAACAGCCCCAAGGAGGGGTCTGTTCTGTGAAGGATGGAGACCTCCACATAAATAGGATCCTGGAGTAATTTCATCAGTGGGTAGTCATCTGCACCATAGTAAGAGCCATAGTTTCTATCTGCACAAAGAAAACAAGACTTGAAGTAAGGCTAGGAAATAACTTAGTAGGTAAAGTACCTGTTTGTATAAGTATGAGGACCTGCAATTAGCCTCCAGAACTTATGTAAAAAGACCACGTTTGATGCTCTGTGGTTGTAATTCTAGAGCTGGTAAAGCAGAGACAAACTCCAGACCCATGAGAGATTCTGCCTCAGAAAACAAGGTTGATGGCACACAAGGAGCTGTTCTGAAGTTGATCTCTAACCTCTACACACACACAGTGATAAACCAGTATAATCAGAAATAGGAAGCTGAATGGTCCTAGTATACCTCATCTCCTAAATGCCTATAAGAGTGACATGTTACCGAGTTAGGGTACTGACAGACTTAGACTTAAGGCAGGATTCACCAACTAAGAAAAGCTTACCCTTGGCAATCTGAAGTTCCAGAGAGAGAGACCCAGGTTGGGGCTTAGGAAGGGGTGGTGGCAGAGTCAGCACTTGCAAGTTAATTGGGGATGTGTTGCTGAGAACAGAGTAAGTGCAGCTGACTCGGAGCCTGCAGGAAAACAAGATTTTAGTAGCCTGTGCGTGCTGGCCACACCTGCCGATTTTAACTTCTTAGGATCAAGTGACAGGTGTTTGTTTTGTTTTTTTTTTCAAGTTCATAAATAAAACAGAGGTGATTTCTGCCCGTAGAGTTAGTTATTTTCTGTTGTCACCATGGTAATAGGTACAGTATGAGTTGGTGAGAAAAACTAAGAAACAAGTGTGTTGGATGAGATGGCAGACTAGTGCAAAACAAGTGAAGCTCTTACAGGTGAGGGGCTATGAAGAATGAAAATAGCTGCCAAGAAGCCCAGGTGAGAGGCTCCATGTGAGGAAGAGTCTAGGATTGGAGGGACTGAGAGCATCATGCCTTGAGAAGGGAAGGCAACATTTCAGGTAACGACTGTACTTTTTGCTTTAACAAGTGAAGCTCAAGAGTGAGACCTGGCAAAACCAGGTCTGGAGGGAATTCCTTTGGCCACAGCTTAGATGAAGTACAAGGAAGAAGTCTCACATGACTATGTGGCTGGGAGTAGCGGCCCAGGTAAACGTAAGCAGTGGCAACCAAGGGAGCAGGTAGGTTGGCCAGCTGTTGAGAAGTGTTCTCCCGTGAGCTCAGTTTACACCAGGATTCTTGCCTTACGAGGAAAAGACCTTTGGGTCTCTCAGGCCAAAATTGACTCTACCTGAAGATGCTGTCTCGAGTAATAGAGCCTCTTTGGGATGCTCTCACATCCCGAATGGCCACTAGCTCATTTTCATATACAGCCTCGTCTCCAGTGATCTGTACAGTGGGTGAAAAGATGACAGCTTACTGTACAGTAGGTGAAAAGATGACAGCTTACTTCAGTCTGTTGGCTGAATACTGCTTTCAGGTTGCCTAGACCAAGTACTTAGTCTTATCCTCTTCTGTATTCTAGTTTTTGATCACTACAGAGAGGCAGGAGGTTCTGGCTGTGAATAACTTGGGGCAAGTTCAGCTTATGTTCGATGCAGAACCAAGGGATAATGAGATGATTCAAACACCGAGATCAGGCAAATGGACCACCCCAATCCAAGTCAGCATCCTCCCCATGATTACCCCACATCCCGGAAGCATGAGGAACCTGCTCCTTATATTTTCTCTCTACAGAATGGTAAATGGAAAGCTGGATCACAGCAGAGTCGTTTGCTGAATGCCCACAGAAGCATCCAAAGTCTAAGTGCCTTTTGCCATAGACTGGTCCAGGCACCAGCCAGTGGTGAGGACTGTTCTTCATGGCTGTTATATCTCCACTTCTCCTCTCCCAATCAGCAAGGCACTGTTTCCACCCCAGTACCCCAAGGCGCTCTTCTCACCTGACGTCTGGTCCCACAGGAAGTAACTGGAAATTGGAACAGGACAAAGGTGGGTGTTGTCATCACAGGGTCACACTCACTGTCATTCCTGAAGACCAAGTGTAGTGAACCCGAGCGCAGGGGCGGCGAGGTCACATTCCTGGACACAGCAATGGAGAAGCGGCCCTCTCTGGTGCAATGGAAGGTCACTAGGATACCAGAGATGGGTGGCAGTTGGACTTTAATGACTCAGCTGCTTCAGATGTCCACCCAGCGAGGCTGGAATTCCCAGTGATGACCTGGCAGCAGGCCAGGTCCAACCACCTGCTTCAGTCTTGCCACCCTCAGAGAGGCAAGGCTGTACCTTGGCTACAGCTGCTTGTGTAGGGCAGGTGTGGAAGCACCTCCATTGTGTAACTGCTTAGAACTAGGCTCTCAGTGTTCAGTGTGCTAGGAAACTTTTGAGCATAATATGAGGCCTGTGAAAAACAACCATTTGGGGATGATTCTCTTGAAACACTCAGCCTATCAGTTGCCCAAGTGGCTCTCCCTTGGGAAAACAAGTTTATCAGTTAGTAATACCTGCCGTATAAGGCTTAATTTCCTAATGTCCCTTCAGGTTTCCTTGATGTGTGGCTTCTAGGAGATTAGATGATGAAAAACTATAGAAAGTTCTAGTTCTAAGCAGCATTGCCCATCCACTAGCAACTGGTTGCTTTGTATTTGCTGTCTGAATAAAGCTCTCCCTGCTCTCGTGTTATCAGAAGCCCACTCAGCCCCTTTTCTCAACTGATTTCAGGCATGAAAGCATGCACCTGTGTTTCCATAGTAACACAAGCCTGTCTCTTCCTCTTCAGAGCTGTAGCAGCAGCCCAGCTCTTCACAGTCTTGTGGAGACGTTGGCGAGGGAGCACAGGACAGTCTTTCCTTTACTGGCACAGCACTGCACACTTCAGTACTTGGAGCATCTGAGGCTGGATATTAAGAAGGGAAGAGGAGCTCAAGCTAGGCAGCAGGATGGTCCTTCAATGAACCATCAGTGATGCAAAGCCTGGGCTTTGAACTTCAGAACACCCAGAGAGCCTCAATAGGCCCATTGACTCTGCTCACTGTAGTTTAAATCCCAAAGGAAGATCAATGTTAAACACCTTGTCAGTCTCCCCAAAATGGATCTCCTTTGAGAACATTCTCCCAGCACGTGTAGGAGCAGCAAGGCTCTACACATGCCTCCCAACGACCACCTTTCTGGCTCTTTAGACTGATCAAGCTTTGCCACAGGTGTGAGATACCACGGGAGCTTTTCAAATCACAGGTAGTTTTGAGTATAGCCTGTGACTCATTTGGTCTGCTGTTTTGGGTAACCAGATAGTGGAAAGAGAGAATTTGAGTTTGAATCTGTTCTAATCATGGTAATAGATTCTCAGACCACCAGGGAAAGTTCCTAGTTAAGTGATCAACTGATCCCATATGGAGGTGGGAGTCTGCAGGCTGAGATGGCTCCTTCGGCTACTTCCCAATGCTAGCTTGAGTTCTCTGCCTCTTTCAAAAGGTGAGGGGTCTCCTGGTTCTAGCTAAGTTAATTCTCAGTTGAATTCAAACTTGGTAACTAGCAGGTGAAGCTTCATGGTGAGATCAGAGTCAGGGAAGTTAGGTGCCAAGCCTGAGGCATGCCCAGCCAACAGCTCGAGTCTCTCCCTACGGTTAATTTTCCTAAGGGCTGACATGGAAGGAAGAGCTGGAAAAAGTCCTTCTTAGGGAGAAGTTGTTGCTACTACCAATGTAGGCAGCAGTGGACCAAAAGCACCTTCCAGGAGAGACCCTCCCCAAGCCTGAATGATTTCTATGCTTACCTCGAAGATCCAAAGGGCACTTAAGCAGTCTCGTCCCTGCCATATCTTCAGCTACATTCGCCTCTTGAAGTCCAACTGTCATAACGTAGTGGGAGCCCTGAAGAGCCGAGCAACAGCAATCAGCCTGGCTATGGTAAGAGGGATTCTTACTGTACCTACAGCTGGGGTCTGCTCACCTCCAGAGTGACATAGCAGCTACTGTAGTTCACTTCCAATGCCAGAAAGCCACCAGGACTGTCCATCACCCACGTACCACAGTCGGAATCATTCTTCAGCCTGTGCGGCAGCCCTTGGCTATCTAGGGACGGTAGAACATGAGCAACACAGTGGTTAATCACCCATCAGTGGACGTCTAGCCCCACCGTTTGACCCTCAAGGATCTTCCATCATTCAGAAAAATACAAGGCAATTCGGGTTTGGAAGTGTCAGAGTTTTAACCGTCCATTCTGTAGACAGGTACCGAGGAGTTTTTAGAAGGAGGAAAAGTGTCAAGGCAGGAAGTTTAAGGGTAGGTTCCTGGCTGAGTCTGCCTTACCCCAAGCTGTTAGCACAGGACTCCTGGCCTCCAGGCTGAGGTTCACAGTGAACTGGAAGCCCTGTAGCCCACAGTGCAACACACCAGGCATCTCTGCCACATGCTGGCCACTCAAAGGAGGACAGAATAGGAAACACAGTAAGATGCCTGGCAGAAGCCCCAGAGTGCTCTTCAGAGACTGCCTCGCCATCCTTTCTCCTTCACTGGCCCACATCCACTGAGAAAGAGAGCTCTTTGTATATATACGAGGAAGGCTTGGTTTGGGGCAAATAGTTTTACAGCCTGCAGGTGGAAGGATTTTGCAAAGGGTGATTTCTTCTGGGGGCACAGTCTATTGATGCGTCCATTGCATATATTAATCCCCTGGTCTCCAGAGCTGGGTTGACATGTTCCTTTTGGCCAAAAGCAGGCTTCATAGGTTAGCTACTTGTAACACTAGTTCTATCAGCTTGTCTTTAGAAAGAGAGTGTCTGCCTTTTAGAGCTTTACATATTCAAGTAAGGATCCTAGCTGCAACGGCCCAATGAATGGTGAAGGATGAGCGACAGGAACCGGGGCCAGGGTAGGTTACTACCTCTCCTAATTTGGGGTTTTCTATCTGGAAAAAAAATGAGAATGAGAGTCCTGGCAGTACTGTTCTTAAGGATGCCGTGAGAGGTTTCAGTTAAACACGCAGTACCATGCTTGGCCAAGGAGGAAGACCTTAGGTAGTATCCTTGGGTTGAGATTAGCTTCATTAAGAACCTTTCTTCCTTTCTCCTCTGGTAATAAGCTTTCATGGGAAGTCACTTTACTCTTGGCTCCAAATCTCAAAATCACTTAAACCTGATTCCTGAGTCAAGCTGGTTCAGAATTTTGCCCTGCTACTCAGAATCCCACCAAGGGTCTATAATCTTCAATCCCAGCACTCCAGACATGGAAGAAGGGGAACAAGAAATTCGAGGTCATATTTGGCTACATATCAAATTGGAGTCTTATTTGGTCTATATTAGACCCCATCTAAAAAAAAATATCCTCAAACTATGGAGAGACAATTAGAGGATTACATGAGCCAGTTAGTAACTAGGGAATATGAACAAGAATCCATCTGCTTTCCTAGTGTGAGAGTGACTTTTCTGAGGGAAGAGGGAAGCAACTCTTTTCAACAAGCCAGAATGAAGGGCCACCCAGAGACACCTGGAATTGATGACTCCAATCAGCAGGCTCCTCTTTCATTCCCCTCTCTCTGAACAGGTTCCCAGGATGTGCTGTTAGGAGCTGTTAGGTGCAGCCCTTTTGCCACTCTGGCTTTGTCTCTGCTATCTGCTTGCCCTCATTCTCTCTGTGATGGCCTCCAGGGGTGCAAGTCCACCTTTCTCTGTCTTGAGGCCAGGAGGTCAGCTAGGTAGCCTGACTTTTAGAGGAATGGTTGTATATATTAATCTCAATCTCTGTCTCTCTATAGAAAAAGAGAGTAAGAAAGAGAAGAGTAAATTAAGTTAATAAAGAAAGTGGGAGCTTAAACTCAAACTTTGTGGCAAGCATTTAATGTAGGGTGGTTTGAACCTTCCTTCTGTCCTTTGTGCTTATCTACCCAAATGGGTGGATATGCTGAATTTGCATGTAACACAGTAAGTGTGAACATTATCAACCAGTGGACTGTCTCCCAGCATCTCTTCTATTGTCATAAAAGTAGGCAATTATCACGGCCTCTAACTGTGACATTTAAAACACTAACAGGAAGTGAAAGACCCTTAACTCTAGAGAGTTCAAGCGATTTACATTATGCCCTCTGCAGACATGGCGGGCATTTCCTAGCTACTATTATTTTTGAAAGCCTGTGGTGAATTCCTCCTCCACGCTTCTGTGCAAGACCAAGAGAATGGAAGTGATAAGGTTAATGGCCAGATGATTGGCAGCTGGGTAGACCTTTGATTTTTCAGGTGTGACTCCAACATGGCTAAGCTATTCATGTGGCTGTGGGTGATTTTACACATATTCCCCAAAGAATCAGGGACTCTCTTTGTATTCATTACCATTTTTTTCCCTCAAAATCAAACAGATCTTTCTTTATCCGTGCTGTTGTGGTTTGAAAACGACAGTCCATTTCACTGAGTACACAGGCTATTTAATGTTGGGGGACAATATAAAGATATGATATTTAATGTCAGATGTCAAGGTAGGGGGTGTGTGTGTGCGCGCACACGTGTGTATGTTTTAGAGAAGGAGACAGTCCCCCCCCTCATGGTAGCTTTTAAGGCTGAACTAATAAGTGCCTCTCTTTGGCGATTCAGAATAGTTTATTGGCATGAAAAAGAGGACACTAGGAAGGAGCATGGGCTCAAGGTGTCTACAGGGTTACAGAGAAATACCCAGGAGAGGTTGCTTCTGTCTCTTCCAGTTTCTACTGGCTACCAGCAGCCTTTGACTGTCCTTGTAGACATGGTACTCTCATCTCTTGTTTCACAAGCCATGTTCCCTGCTTGTCTTCATACTGTCTTATTTCTGTGTCTGTCTCTAGGTCCATATGGCCTTTTAAAAATGTAGACATTGGTCATACTGTTTGACTATGTATAAAGACCCTATTTACAAATAAAGAAGGCCATGTTCTGAGGCACTGGGCTCTAGGATTCAACCTGTTTTCATGGAAGGTGGAGCTATGGTACAAACTACAACATCTTGAGGACTTATAAACACATGTCAGTCAAGCTAATCTTTTAGACTAGATGTTAGAAAAAAAGAAAGTGCCATTTTCTTCGTTAAAATCCCCATCCTTGCCTTGACTGCACTAAAGGGAGTATAATTTCTTTGTTTTTTTGAGGGAGAGGATCAGTTTTGCATCCAAAGGCTGCTAGTGGTTAGTGATTTAGGACAGTTCAAAGATAGGGGACTTGGGGGAAAAGGTGGCTATTGCCTGTGCTTACACCACTGTATTCTTTCCAGCTGCTCTGACCTAGCTAGAGTTAACTAGCTGTCTCAGGGCCTCTGACATGCCATATGTCTCATACTGATCCATGTTGTTCTCAAGATGTGCTTGTTTTAACCATGCTGTGGTCTTGCTAGTGTGGGCACATACTTGCTGGCAATCTTCATTTGGCCAGTTTTTCTCCTTCCCTTGAGACACAGGTTCAAAAGGGCCCATCCCTGAGATTAAAGCAGCCAGGGCCACCTGGGGGCTTGTTAGAAATGCAAAGTCTGGCCCTTGTGTCGTCGGTGACTCAAAAAGAAGCTGGGGTGGGGTTGGGGCTTCCAGGTGATCTGGATCCCACTCCACCTGGAGGAAATGATGCAGATGACAAGGGAGGGTGGAAGCCTCTCTGTAGAACTCATCTTGGATGACCCATCCCCATCCTCCACCACATACCCTGGAGGTGGCTCCTGCTGGGGTCAGCTTTGAGACTGTGTTTGAGGGTGGATGTAATTCCCCTTTGATTTGCTCTTCACTAACCTCAGGTACTAAGACAGTGTTGATTAAATAAGTAAACTACTCCCCCTTCCCCAATTTTTGACTTTTAATCACTTAGAAGATTTCATAAACAAAACAACCCAACAATGAAACAGCATTCTGGGGCTGGGAATGTAGCTCAGTTGATAGGTGGCTCATCTTCCATGTGTGAGGCCCTTTGTTCAATCTCCAGTATTGTATATACTGGGTCTGGGGGTACATACTTATCCTTCTTCCATACTGGGAGGCAGGGGGACCAAAAGTTACAGTTCACCTCAGGCTACATAGAGAGTTGGAGGTCTGGCTAGGCTATATCAAAATCAAAACCTACAGAACACACAAACAAAATCACCTTGACCGTGTGTTTGTGATCTTCACACTCAAGAAGGACAACCTGTTCCATCCTGGCATGAATGCCTTGAGCACATGTGAATCCACACTAGGTCTTGATCATGTCACTTCCTATTTGAGACTATCTCTTCAGAGCTTTTGGTCTCTCTGCAGGAGCCTAATAAAGCTGGCTCAGGGCACACGGCCTGTGGAGCCTGGATTCTGCTGCTATCCTAACACAAACCATTCTATGACCTGAGTCCACGGCAGCCTTATTTTGTGTATTGCACCATGAATGCACCAAAAGCCGAGGCCATTCTGGCTATCCGAGCTCCACATACTCTTATCTTTTTTTTCCCTTTCATACTATATAGATATTTCTTATAGAAATGAGAATAAGAAAAAAAAATACCTTAGCCACATTTTAATTTTTTTCTGAATTTCTTCATTCATCATGTTATCAACTAATATTTGATTAAACCTTTATAAACACAGAAATGTTTATCATTACTGTTTCTATCAGGAGTTGACTTATTCTTGCATTTTCCATGCTCTCTGTAATGACCTATCTATCTGCCAGTCCTTCACTTTGTTTTGGTTCTTCTTTTTTTTTTTTTTTCCTCCTTAACATATGCTCTGGAACAATATTTCAGTAGGATCTTTGGGCCCCCAACTTTTTAGAAGCCCTAGTTTTACAGGGCCACCCAAATGACCCAATGTTGACAAAATGTAGAGTGCCTACAAATTCTAAAGAAGCCTGCCTGCAGTTAGTTTTTAGAATGGCATCTGTGGCTGGGGGAATTCCAGTTCAACTAGCCTTGCAGAGCTTTTCCAGGAGAGTGTTTTCTTGGAGCTGTTTTGGGGCCTCTTCTGGGCTCCTTCCCTGAGTGGCAACCCACACCTGCTTCTTGCCTTCTGCGTATACTTAAACCATTGCAGGCAGACCTGCAGAAATGATGGAAATCATCACAAGGGCAAATTGAGCTAACAGCTGCAGAAACATCTCTTGTGAATTTGAGATGGGAATTGGCCACAGCACCGAGTAATGAATGAGTCCAATCTGTGTAAGAGGCTGGGGTCATGCTTGTTAGAGTCCCCCACAAGGCCACTGCTGAGAGCAAGGCTCTGGCTGGGATTTAACATAGCATTTTCAAAATGTCATTAGTGAAAAATTAATAATACAAAACAGTTTTGGGAGGGCTGAGTCAATCGCCTCACTTTTAATAGCAAAGGACAGTTCTCAAAAGTGTCCTTTGTTTTCCCTATCCTCAAGCAGAAATGAGGAACTGGCCAGGGTGATCAGACCTCTCCCTTGTTTTTCAAATTGCAACCTGACACTGTGGGTCATTTCATCTCAAATTGGGTTGGACTGTCCTGTGACGTGCCTTGTATTTCTCTACAGTCCAAAAGACTCCTGTTCATTGAAGATTTAAAAA